AGTTTTCATAAAAAATGGACTTAGCAACTTTTCACTCTAAGCTAGCGAATTGCCTACAAACGTATATGAAATGTGAAAAATTTCGCCAACAATTCTGGCAGTGAAATTTTGTAGAAAAATCGACAATTGTCGCACCTGTCACTTTTATGAAATGGGCCCCTGATAAAACGCTATATGAAACTAGTACCTTTTAAAATTATACCGAGACAAAAATGAACGGCAAGCAAAATAAAATAACTAGAAGATGCCAGATATTTCAGAATGATGAAAGCGGAATATTCGAGAAAGAGAAAGACGTGTGCATTTTTTTAGTGATAGTTGTTGGGGCCCAGGGGACCCGCCGTACAAATCTAAAAAAATTGTGTCTTCGGAACCGAAAAATTCAATATCGGGATAGGTGGAATCGGTGTTGAATATTTAGTCCCGGGCCCATCTCTAGTCTGAAGGCCAAAGGGTCAAAGTTCGATAAATGCATTTCCTCTTTAATCGAAAAATCTACACCGAGTTTAGCTCCAGCGGAGACTAGAGATCTTATTTGGAATGCAGAATGATGGTTATGCTCTACATGGTCTCAAGTTCTTTCTATGGCAGTTGGTTTAGGTGGGATGCGGTGAAATTGCATGCCAGAGGAACTTTCAAGCAGACTTTCACAGTTACACTTTCTATTTTTGCTCATTAGGCATCGTTTCTTTATCTTGCGGAGACCCTATCTAACATAAACTAGCCCAATCTAACCATACTTAAGCCATTCTCCAATTTGATCACTATTCCAATTATTTAAAAATTTTTTTTTTCTTTTCATCTCGCAGGTCAAGAAAACATGTGGCACGCCAAAACTTTTGCCCTCACTGACAGCGGACAATGATCTACGCCCTCTGCAGCCGCACAACATTAAATGGGCAACCCCACCGGATGCGGAAATTCTGCACTTCCAATCAACCATAGACAAATCCAAGGAATTCTACTCGAACATCGTCAACAAGTGAGTACTGGCACAAGAATTGTAGACAATTGTATAACAAGTAATTTTTAAGCAAAAAAAAACACAACCGACTACAATTCTCATGTACAAATTTAAGAGTACCGTTAATTTTTTCATGATCCAATAATCGGATCTAAACCAAATTAGTATGGGACGACCTGTGATGATAGAAGAATTATCGTAATCGGTTGACGTGGTTCAAAGTAACGCGGTAACATACATAAAAAAAAATATGTAGATATATATTCCGACGAACTGATAACCATGATAAAAATATAGTAAGGTAGAACCGCTGAGAGTCCCTTTTAAGATTCTTGACGTTTCCAAACAATTTAATTTTTAAATTTACTCACAAACTCACACACACATTTTCTTTTTCAATCTCAAGCAACAACAATTTCGAACAATTTCAATTTTTTATTTTCACTTTTATATGATTATGATGATGGTTATCAGCATGATAAAAACATAGCAAGGTATAACCGTTCTCTCAATTTGTCGGCCATGATTTTTTTTTGAAGTTTGCCAACATTTTAAAATCATATAAAAGGGAAAATAAAAAAATTGAAATTGTTCGAAATTGTTGTTGCTTGAGATTGAAAATGAAAATGTGTGTGTGAGTTTGTGAGTAAATATAAAAATTAAAATGTTTGGAAATGTCAAGAATTTTTAAAGTAACTCTCAGCGGTTCTACCTTACTATATTTTTATCATGCTGATAACCTTCTCCTTTTTTTTGAAGTCGGCTAATAAATGAAACACAGAGATCTTAATTTTGTGTACTAAAACATTACTGTAATATTTTTATTACCGTTAATTTTTTACACGTACTATTTTGTAATTTACATTCCGAATCTTGCGCAGAACATCGCGCAACACAGTATAGTAGAGAGGCGCTAAAATAGCTGCGCTGAAAAATATAACGTCACAGATCATCTCCTTATTAGACATGGACATGCATGACTGTAGCGGGGCATCGAACCAACGTACGACCGATGATGCGACGGATGTTTGATTGGTGAAATCAGGGAAAGGATTGAAATGCGGATTTTTTAAAAAGATCATAGTTTTGAATTAGATATAGGAGTCGTATGTACATATGTATGTATGTATTTAAAAACTTACCACTTTCATGGGCGGCGCTGGTTTGGGCCGAAAGACGGCATGTATGGTGTCGCGGGTGCCACGAACAAAAGATGTTAACATTTGGGCTTTAGGATTTTGTGATTCTTACAGAATTTCGACGACACAACAATTAAAATCGATATTTTCTAGATTTAAATAATAGAAAATTAAATGAAATAGAAACCGAAACCCAATGACAATCAAATCTTTCATTCATTTTTTTTTTCTTCTATTCTCTATTTTCCACTTTGCTATGCTTGCACAGTGTGTGCGAAGACGATGACATCCAACGAAACGATCACAACTGTTGGACAGGCGATCGTGTTGGCGACTACACCCAACTAGTGATGACCCAAGGTGTAGACACACAACGGTACAACCCCGAGGTGCCGCTGGTGCCAAGCTCGCAATCGACGAAATTGAATGAGTTGGTGGACAAGTTGATCAAGGTGCGCAAGAACATCGGAACGGCGGTAAGTCGAGCGAGCGCCAAAAATACGAAAAATAATACATACGTATTCATAATCGTCGTTATTTTCCCACTTAGATACCATCCACCACGCGTTCATACTCTGACATACAGAGCGATATGGCGCGCCACGATGAGGAGGGCTCCGGCGGCCACATGCCCGACGACATGGATGACGAGGAATACGGCAACCAGAATGGCTCAGGCGATGGATCTGGCGATGGTAGGACACAAACATACATACATACATACATACATATTCAAAACTAAAATGCATTTTCCAATTATTTCACACTTTTCAATTCGCTTTACAGGTGCCACCTCATCGCCATTCGATCCGTTGGGTCCAACCGAGATCACCAACAATGAAATCGAGCCACGTCAAGAATCCGCGGCGACGCCGCTCACCGCCGCGTGTCCCAGCCGCCTGAGCTCGCTGCTGGTCGGCGCCGCAGTACTAGTCACATTCACAGCCCTTTTGCGAAGCAGAAGCTAAACGCCAACAATGCAACGCAACGCAACGCACACAGCGCAGCTCGCCAGCAATAAATGTGGATGATGGGGAATGCAAACAAACTAAATTTGTTTCACTTTAGGAATACTATGTATAATTAATTTATACATATATGTATATGTATGTATGAACGACGCCGGACAAAGGAAACACACAAAAAACTAAAAAATTTAATTAACAATTTAGTTTAGGTATACGCGCTATATGTAATGTATACATACTTGCATGTAAATATGTATGTTGATATGCAAGCAAGTACATAAAAATTGAATGTGGAGAGTGCAACTCTGTTTAACAATATTG